TAGTCACCAAGGAATGGTAGGTCAAAATAACTAACCCCGAAACTACACGTGCCGGTGTAGGAGTGATTGAGGGGTAAATCCCCGTGTTAATGTGATGAGGTTATTTCCCCTTATATGAGATGAGAATGATGTGTTGAGATATTTTTCCTTGAATGGGATAAGATTATTGCTAGCGAGATGTGATATGATGTCGACCCACACGACATTGTGGTGAGACGGTTAGCCGATCGGGCTGAGATCATAAGCCATGCCACGCACATGGGGGCATTGTGAGTGGATTTCTCAGGGTGAGACGGCTTAGAAGCTCTGTCGTAGCGCTCTTTTGTTTCTGTTAGAGGTTCCGTAGACATAGTGCGGGTTGTATCTGTTTTTGGGAAGGTTAAACTAAAAATGTTATAACCATATCATCTTTTCCACTTTAACTATGATTGTACAATGTACTGTTTTGGAGATATGTTAATGACGTAACTAATGAAAATGAACTGGTGTTATTCATATGACCTCTTACTGTCTAATTAATTAAATGTATTTTTCTCATTATTCATGGGTGAGTTGGGTAGATGGCATTGTGCAGGCTTGCTCGATCGGGGTAACTCTGTTGAGCGCCGGTCGTGCTCCCCGAGGTCGGGGCATGACAAAATGTAATCAACTCAACAACTTAAATCACAAAAATCCCTACGATTAAGGAACATGAAAGCAAAGACATAAAGGAAGCTCGTAACAAATTAAGAGAGGCTACAATTAATACTAAGCAACAAGACGAACCAAATATACGATAATTAAAGTGTATAAGTAAGACAAGAAGGCAAGTAGTAATTAATCATGGGATCATAGAAGAAACTAACATTTTAATACTAGAATAATAAGTGACAAGTTAAGGCATAGGAAGAAATTAAAGCATGTAACAATTAAGACATGGAATAAAATAAATAATGGAATACGGGAAAAGAATGGAAATAATTATTTTGACGGCGTATCACTCGTCACCTCACATATACGCCGCTATACATGTAATTCACATAACACATAGCTCAAGGGTCTATATTCCCACAAATAAAGGTTAAACCCAATATTTACCTCGCTTCGCAAGCAAATCAGAATCTAACCAAAATCGACTTAATATCAATAATCAATGACAGGGAAATCAATTACAATATATAAAGTTAAGATATTTACACTTTTCCCAAAAAGTCAAAAAAAAGTCAACCTCGGGCCCGCTTGGTCAAAAGTCGAGATTTTTACCTACGAGCCCGGTTACGTAATTAGTTTCGAAATCGGACCTCAATTCGAGGTATAAATCCCAAATTTACAAAAATCCTTAATTCTACCCAAATCCCTAATTTCTACTATAAAAATCTATTTGATGTTGAAAACTTATAAAATGTAATGGGTAATTGAAAACAAATAGATTAAAGTCACATATCAATGTATTTAGGCAGAAAATCTCTTGGAAAAATCGCCTCTAGGGTGTTTAGGGTTGGGAGTTTGTGAAAAATTAGCTAAATCCCGTCTTCTAAGCTTTTTGTCCATGCGCAAATATCGCAATTGCGACCTGGAGTTCGCAATTGCAAACCCCACAAATGTGAAGAAGTTCCCGCAAAAGCAAACTTCCCCCACCTCTACTGGAATCGCAAATGCGAACTAGGACCTTCCGCAAATGCGACCAATTTGATCAAAAATGCGAACCAGCTTCCCCCATCCTCCAATCGCAAATGCGAAGAATATGTTCGCAAATGCAAACGTGACAGAGCTCACCTACTATCGCAAATGCGATCCTAACCTCGAAAAATGTGAGGTCTGAGACTTGTACACCAAAACCAGCAAAGTCCTACTCTTACACTCCGCCACGCGTCCGAAACTCACCCGAGCCCTCAAGGCCCTAAATCAAACACGCACACAAGTCCAAAAATATAATACGAACTTGCTGCGCGATCAAAACACCAAAATAACACCTAAAACTACAAATTGGACACCAAAACGAATGAAATTTTCAAAGAAACTTAAAAGCATGCAACTTTACAAGCGGACGTCTGAATCACGTCAACTCAACTCCGTTTTGCACCAAATTTTGTAGACAAGTCATAAATACTGAAATGAACACATACCAAGTTCCGGAACCTAAATTCGTACCCGATAGCAACAAAGTCAACCTACATCAAACTTAGGAATTCTTTAAACATTTAAATTTCTAATTTTCAACAAATTACGTTAGATCAAGCTAGGGACTTCCGAATCCAATTTCGGGCATACACTCAAGTCCCAAATCACGGTACGGACCCATCAAAATCGTAAAAATACTGATCCATGTCCTTTTACACAAAACATTAACCGTAGTCAACTCAAATGAGTTTTAAGACACGATTTCACCTTTTCATTAATTTTTCTCATAAAACCTTTCCGGAAGAAGACAAGGACTGTGCAGGCAAATCGAGGAAGGCTAAACGGAGCTATTTGATATTTCGGAACACAGAAATGAAGGATAAAACTATAAATGACATATTGGGTCATCACAATTTTACCTATAGTTTAAATAATTTTCTATATTTGTATAGATTTTTACTTAAGTTCATTAACATTATAAGTAACATATCTTTTTATAATTTTATTACAAAATCTAACGCTATTTCTTATAATTGTTATTTAAATGTTATGGCATTAAGTATGTATGTATATGTATGTGAGTGTTCGCACGCATATATTTAAGTTTTTCTCTCTCTTATTCTCTACCATCCATATAGATAAATAAGTTTTGATTGTCATTAATGAAATAAATTTTAAATGATAATTTAGAATACATTTACAACATAAATAGATAATCTTTTAGAATTTTATTATAAATTTATCTCTATTTTTATTTCATTAATTACGATCAAAACTCATTTATCTATATAGAATTCTATTATAAATTTATCTCTATTTTTATTAATTATTTTATATTACTTGCATTCAAATATGTTTATAAAGTTGTCACTTTATAAATATATATTAGAGCTCTGATTGCTATAAATAAAATAAAATTATTTTTATGTTGCTCCATTTATTTCACCATAGAACATATTACTTAGTTACTATTTTTCACTCTTATTTTTTCGTCTCATAAATAATTTTTCTTCTTTCTACAGGTACTTTTGTTATATGAATTTTAAAAAACGAAAGCAAAATATCATGATTTTAAAAAAGTAAAAAATAAAAGAGACAAAGGTTGATATGTAAGGGTAAATTGGCATTTAAAAAAGTTAATGGACATAAAAGGGGAGAGAATGACTATTGTTCAATATTGATGGAAGAGTTTAATTTTTAAAGCAAAGTTGAGGTGTGTAAATAATTTTCACCCAAGGTGATTGAGAATGGAAATATTACAGCTCATTTTGTAGGAACTCAAATTGTTGTTTATAGTGTCGTCATACAATAGCTAGCTTGCATCTTTAGTCAAGCTACTCAAATAAATGTCATGCGTAAATTTTAATTAAGCGTATTTACGGGGCAATCCAATATATCTTTTCGACAAATATATACACGCTGAATGTTTTTTCTTCTTCAAATGTTGATTTTTGATACATCAATACCACACAAGAGGTGGTGATTTGTGTGGTGTTCTATTTTCGCGTGCACAGATTATAGAAGGACCTCATTCTTCTATGTGTTCCTTATACTATAGTTACGAAATAATAAATGCAGAAAGTAAAGAACACAAGTATTTTTACGTGGAAAACATCTGGCTCAAAAGGTGAAAAAATCATGACCTACTACCCAATAGGATTTTTTCCACCCCTTCGCTAAATCACTAAGTCAAAAATAGCGTTTACAAAACTCTTGTAAACCTAAGGATTACCTCTAGCCCTTGGTGGCAACCTGCCTCAGGCTGTTGCGATAATTTCAAGTTAACTCTAACTTGAACAAAACACTCAGAGTACTAGTACATATGCTTCTATAGAAAGTTGAAAGGTACAACTCAAAAGCACTACTATAATGAAACTAGAATAAAAGACAGACACTTGGAACTGGTTCTTCTATCCGGTTCATGTAGCTTCAGGTTCGCACACTTGAATCACACAGGAATAACTTGCAAAATGCCTTGCTATTTTGCTCTCAACTCTCGTTTAATTTCAGCGTTTGTACGTACCTGTAAAATGAGAATATCCTGAAATATATAGAGTTAATAGAATAGGATTAACTAGAGTTCTAATGCTATACTCTTCCATAGGATTAACTAGAGTTCTAATGCTATACTCTTCCATGATGGAAGAGTTCTAGTTATCTTCAACTTCTAGCTCCTCCCTTATCTAGGATAGGGTTATCTTCGAGTAAGGAGTCCTGTTCTAAATCAATTATGTAACCTTTTCGTTCAGGAGATATCAGATATAGCCACTTAAGCTTATCTCCTTCACGTGCATGCCTTGTGCTTAAATTTGCACGTGTCTGTGTACACCGTGTATGGACCTGGTTTATGTGTTTGTTCCTTTGTCAATCATCAAAACAAACTTAGGCTAACAAATTTTCCTTTTTTCATGATGACAAACTCTATGCTTTTCATAAGCATAAAGAACTCTGTGCTTTTCATCAGCATGAAGCATGTTTCAACTCAGCTCAACATCAACACAATGTTAGAACACTTTCCAATTTAAAGTATCAAATCATCAAGGACCAAGTTCATTAGGTTATAAACATCATAATCCAAAGTAAAAATCACAACCTATCTTCCCCCTTTAGGCATCATCGAAAAGATGCATAATTATGTTAGATAACTAGATTTTATTAGACTTTACTCATGGCCATTTAGGTTACTTCAAATACAATCATGGAGTCAAGTATCACTTATCAATCTAAGGATATTATCCATCTAAGAAACATCAACAAACAATTAGAGCAAAAGCAGTTGATTATTATTGATAAGAGTCATCCACAAAGCATAGAAGAAAATAAAAGTACCGCACCATGAGCAAATAGACAAAAAAACATCCCATCCGGATCACTGGTTTTCTAACTAGGCTAGGAAGGGTTTAAGGCTGGGAAGGATCAGATTCTTGGTTTCTGACCTGAAGCAATTTCAACATGTCATGAAGAATGCCTTCATTATTCTCCTTTTCCTTTGCAAGCTCAGTCCTGAGCGCATCCCTCTCAGTTTCTACTTCTGCCAGCCTCTTCTTCAGCCTCTCAATCTCAGCATCCTTAGCTTCACTCTCCTGCACAAGGCTCTCACTTTGCTGTTCACAGGCACCTTCTTGGATGAACCAGGTTCTTTGGGAGCAGTATGGACTTCATAGTCACATATAGTTAAGGTGTTGGCCCCAAAGTGATCTTTGGTTGTGCTAACATCTATTTCTTGAGGGGAACCTTGAAGTGAGCCAGCACAACAGTGAGAATTAATCCATAGGGTATGACATAAGTTTTGGTGTCAGTGAGTACCCTATCAAGGAGTTAGATGATAAACCCCGACTAATTTATTTGCCTCCCACTATCCAGGCACTCCATATGGACCAGGTCTCTGAAGGTGGCAATGTGCCTTCTTTCCTGTTTGGGCAACACAACCTTGTTGACAAATTCAAAAAGTAGTTTGTGGAAAGGCTTTATCTCACTTTTGTACACATCCTTGGGCTATAGCTCTAACTCATTATCAGCAAATAGTTTTGTAATGGCAAGGGAGGTGGGAAGGTTTTCTAGGCTTGGCCATTTCAACTTCTTGTAGTCATTGTACCCTTCAGCAGGTACCCCTAGAATTTCTCCCAGTTCCTTGTCGTCAAATCTCACAGTCACCCCTTTCACTACACCGGTGACCCTGTCATTCTTGATTTCACAATTTGTCATGAACTCCATAATCTTAGCTCTGGCTAGTCTTCCTTCCATCTGAAAGACCATGTCCTTCCAACCCTGAAGTTCTAGCTTCTCCAGCAGCATCACCATTCCTTCCCCCTCTAAGTCCCCGAGGAGTCTACCTTTCAAGATTGTTCGCTTGCCAAACTTCTCCATTTTGTCCTGTTCCTCATCGGTTTCCTCTTCTTCTTCACTTTCTTCTTCTTCCACTACTTGCACTTTCCTAGATTTCCTGGTAGACCTGGTTCTTCTTGCCAAGGTAGAAGGCTCTACATCAACAGGCTCTGAAAGAGACTTCTTTTTGGAAGTCTTTCTTTTCTATGCTTTTGGAGTCACAACCTCCACCTTCTTTGCCTCATCTTCATCATGAAGGACAAGGTCCATCTCCTCAATCTCAATTGTCTCAACAAGTTCGCTCACTTTCTTCTTTCCCTTTGCAGTAGTTTTTCTCTTACTCTCTTCTAAGGCTCTTTCAAGTTCAGCCTCACTCTACTTCTTCTGACTCCTTGTAGCTTTTCCTCTTGTAGGAGGAGTCTCTACAGGGATAGAAGAGGCAGCCTTTCTCTTCTTGTGTGCCCTAGCAGTTCTAGGGGTTTTAACTCCTGAACTTTGCTTCTTCTTCGGATTGTAGCTGTCAGATACTCGTTTCAGTAAATTTTCGAGGGGTTCTTGCACAGATGGAACAAGTTCTTGGAACCTCTTCCTCAACCTAACCAACCCCTCAGTTGCACTAGAATCACCAGATCCACTACCCCCTTCTTCTCTCCAACGTTTTTCCTCCTCAACAACTTCTTCACTCCATAACACCCCATGTTTCCTCAGTCAACCCAACAGGAGTAGGTGAAGATTCAACCACTCCTTCTTTTCCCTTTCCCCTTACATCTCCTTGAACACCCTCACTCTCCTTTTCTTTTTTCTTTTTATTATTATCATCAATTCTTTCAGACTCGATGGTTTCTACCCCAGCAATAGTACCAACCAGAACAAATATGTTCTCTAAATTTTCAGCCACTCCAGAAATGATATCAGAAGCAATACTGAGACCAGATGGTACCTGTTCTGTTTCAGATGAAACAGTTTCTTCCCCCTCAGTTGTAGACTTAAAAGATTCTTTAAATTTTTGGGGTTCTTCCGCTTGGCATGCTTTCAATTGCTCATTTATTTTCTTGATTATTCACTATCTATGACTATCTTACGAGCAAGCATCTTGAACCTTCCTTTCTTAGAGGTGGGTATGGTAGAAGGTGTGACTGAAGGTGCAGGTGATGATTCTTTAGGTGGTGAAGAAGGATTTTTAGATGGGTTTGCCATTGATGTGTGTGTAGAAGAGATGAGAGAAGATAGAGAGAATTTTTGGCGGCTGGAAAATTAGAAGTGAAGAAATAGGTAAGGCCTAATCAATTTAAAGAGGGAGAGCTTAAGTGGGTAACGATATCTTAGAAGTTCAGAAGTCTAATCAAACTGGGAAAGTCAGTTTGAAAAGACGTAGGACTCTTCCCTAGAATCTAGGCACTTATCGCGCGTGGGACTCTTTGTTGGTGAAACTGGTTCATTTGTAACGGATAGACTTGAGGGAGATTGGGATTAAATGAGACTTTTTTTTTATCATGATACAAATACCATTATTTCAAAATATACGGAGTGTAGAGTACATGCCATGTAATCTTGATGAACCAGGTTCTTCACTGAGAATTTTCTTGTGTGAGTTTGAATTTTTCAAGAAAATAGAGATAATATCATTAGAGATTAATGAGATATTTTAGCACATGGCACAAGAGTATACAAATGAAAGTATGAGACTGAGCAAAATCTAATCTAATTATTTACAAAATTCACAAATTATCTAACCAAATATTGAGTTAGAATTGGTTCCTTTTAGGTGATCTTAATCATCCCTAATTCTAACCCGTTCCTTTCAAAGTGATCTCTACTTAAAGCTTTTGTGAAGATGTCAGCTATTTGCTTGTCAGTAGCACAAAATTACACAATAATCAAACCTTTCTCATAGTTATCCCTCAAAAAGTGATTCCTAACATCTATGTGCTTAGTTCTTTTGTGATGAACCGGGTTCTTGGTCATACTAATTGCACTGGTGTTATCAAAAAAATGGGGATACAACCTACATCAATTCTAAAATCCACTAATTGCTGTTTGATCCACAATAATTGAGCATAACATGAGGCAACAACCATACACTCAGCTTCAGCAGTAGACAAGGACACCGAATTTTGCTTTTTAGTGGCCCAAGACACAAGACATGAGCCAAGAAAGTGTGCCATACCTGAAGTGCTCTTTCTATCCACAAGAAAAACTGCATAATCAACATCAGCATATCCCACTAAATTGAAATTACTACCTTTTGGATACCATAGGCAAAGACCAGTGGTACCTTTTAGGTATCTCAAGATCCTTTTGACAGCAGTCAAGTGAGACTCATTTGGATTTGCCTGAAATCTAGCACAAAGGCCTACATTGAAAACAATGCCAGGTCTACGAGCAATGAGATATAACAAAGACCCAATCATTCCCTTATACATCTTCTGATCAACAGATGAACCAGGTTCATCTATATCCAACTTTGTGGTTGTTGCTATATGAGTGTCAATTTCTTCGGAGTCTTCCATTTTAAACCTTTTAAGCAACTCTTTCACATACTTCTGCAGATGGTCAAATTCTTTACTTAACCTATCTATAGTTTCTCCAAAGATTATATCATCAACATATATCTGAACTACCAAGAGATCTTTACCTTTTTCTTTCAAGAATAAAGTATTGTCAATTTTACCTCTCTTGTAGTCGTGCTCAAGCAAGAATTTAGAAAATCGTTCATACCATTCTCTTGGTGCCTGCTTAAGCGCATAAAGTGTCTTGTCAAGCTTGTATACACGATCAAGACATTCCTTGCTTTCAAAGCCAGGAGGTTGCTTGACAAATACTTCTTCCTTTAGATAGCCATTGAGAAATGCACTCTTGACATCCATATGATGGAGAGTAAATTCCATGTAAGCAGCAAAGGCTATAAGGAGTCTAACTGCTTCCAATCTTGCAACTGGAGCAAAAGTCTCATCATATCCTTGAACCACAAATCTAGCCTTGTTCCTTGTAACAGTTCCATCTCCATCAAGTTTGTTTCTGAAGACCCATTTTGTGCCAATTACTGATCTGTCCTTGGGTCTTGGTACCAGATGCCAAACTGACTTCTCTCAAAATGTTTGAGTTCATATTGCATTGCATTCACCCAGTCTGCATCCTGCAAAGGCTCAGCAACATTTTTAGGTTCAATAAGAGATAAAAAAGAAGCAAAAGTACATAGGTTCTTCAAAGAAGATCTGGTTTTGATTCCAGAGGTTGGATCAGTGATTATGTTCCAAATAGGATGAGAACTTTGATATATGTAAGGTTTCACAACCATCTGGTTTCCCTTAGACGTTCCTCCAATGTTTTGTTGCTGAGGAACAAGTTCATGGACAGGTTTCCTCGAGGTTTGAGGATCAGTCCTCTCTGTTTAGTTCCCCCTGTCAGGTTTCCCTAGGTGGAAAGACCTGTTCCATCATCTGTTCCTTCCTCTGGTGAAGCTTCAGTCTGGGTTATGGTTTCATTTGAGTTTTTTACCAGCCTAATTGCTTCATCATCTTATTCTTGTCTCTCAGAAAGAATGTTAGTTTCATTAAAAAAAAACATGTACACTTTCTTCTACACACATAGTTCTTTTGTTATAAATCTTATAAGCTTTACTATGTGAATAATATCCCAAGAATACTCCCTCATCACTTCTGGGATAAAACTTACCTAGGGAGTCCTTTCCATTATTGTGCACAAAGTTGTTGCATCCAAATGCCCTATGATGTAGCATGAAGTGTTCACCTTCTGCGCAGAAACTATGGGGCAATTTACTATTAAGTAGCATAGTCCTAGCCATGTCCTCCAATGTCTTATTCTTTCTTTCAACTATTCCATTTTGTTGTGGAGTCCTCGGAGCAGAAAAGTTATGATCTATGCCATGCTCATCACAAAATTTAGCAAATTTAGCATTCTCAAATTCAGTACCATGATCAGACCTAATTGATACAAGTTGATTACCTAGTTGTTTCTGAGTTTTTCTAACAAATGAAGTGAACATGTCCAATTCTTCATCTTTAGATGTTAAAAACAGTGTCCAAGTAAACCTGGAGTAATCATCAGCACCATAACATATCTCTTACCACCTCTGCTTAATGTTCTCATTGGTCCACAAAGGTCCATATGGACCAGTTCCATCGTCCTGGTAGTACTTACCATTTTCTTGCTTTTGAAAGAGGATCTTACATGCTTCCCCTTGCACAAGCCTCACAAATTTTATCTTCCTTGAACTTAATGGTAGGCAGCCCTATCACCAAATCGTTGGAGACTAGTTTGTTGGGTTGGCTTAGACTGGCATGTCCAAGTCTCTTGTGCCAAGGGAGGGGATCATTATCCAACACACTTAAGCAAGTGAGTTTATTATCTGAAAGTGTGAACAAATCCACCATATATATGTTGTTCACACTTTTTCCATGCAAAACTATCTTGTCAGTAGAAATATTAATTACAAAGCATTTTGTAGAGGTGAAGGCTACCATGTTACCTCTGTCACACAATTGTGATACACTTATTAGACTGTACTTCAGTCCATCAATCAAGTAGACATTCTATATAAAGGGATAATTAGTCTTACCTACATTTCTAATCCCAATGATCTCACATTTTCTTTCCGTTTCCAAAGGAGAATCCTTTAAGGTCCTCAAGTGAAAGAAACTTGTTCTTGCTTCCTATCATATGCTTAGAGCAGCCACTATCCATGTACCATATTTGGCTGCTTTCCTTCACTTGGACCTACAAAAAGAAATCAGGGGTTATTCTTAGGAACCCAAACTAGTTTGGGTCCCTTTCTATAGGCAAAAGGATAAATCAAATTCTTTTTAACCCAACTTGGCAGCATATTTTTCCCTAGAACAAATTTTTTCTTCTTTTGACTCGCCTTCTCTTTTGCAGTGCATTCACTCTTATAGTGACCAGTGTTACCATAGTGTATGCAAATCCTGTTCTCAAGGAGTGTGAGGTACTTGCTTTTGAAATCTCACTTAGGTGCAGAGTTCCTAAAGCCAAGTCCTCTTCTGTTGCTACTATGATGCTCTTATAGCCATGAAAGTGCATCAGAGGACTTGTTCCATTTACAAGTTCTTTCTAGCTCATGCTTGACCTTGTTCAGATCCTCCTTTAAGACTCTTACCAGTTCATCCCTTTTATACAACTTCTCTTTAATGTTTCTTACATTTTCTTCTAAAATGAGTTGTGTGTGATCAACTGTCTTTTTGCATGTTCCTAATTCCAATTTTAGATTTTCAGATCTAAGTTTTAGAACAGTTGTATCAATTGCATGAACCTAGTTCTTCAACACAATATTTTCACTTTCAGTTTCACAAGCCCTAAGTTTCAAGTTTTTGCACTTAGCTTTCAAAATCATACATTCTTTTGACAATTGTTCCTATTCATTATTCATATCCCCAGATTCATCAATTAGCTCTAGTAATAACTCAGATAATATTTCTTTAGACAAAGAAATTAACCTTGTCTTTGAGATGAAGGACACTTACATTAGTTTCTTCATCGGATTCTCCAATGGCCATTAGTGCTCTTTCATCATCATCATCATCATCATTTGAGCTTTCTCCCTAAACAACGACCATAGCCTTGGTTGATCCTTTGTTGTTTCTTTTCTTAGGTTGAACATGTTCCTTCTTCCTGTTCCTTCATTTAACTCTTTCTTTTTTCCATTCAATTTTCCACAAAGGATAATTTTTGATCATGTGATCAGTATTTCCACACTTGTAGCATCCATCATTGGTTTGCTTCTCCGGAGCTCTTGCCTTGTTGTAGTTTCAACTTCTTGAAGAACCCTTTCCTCTCCTTAGGTACTTCTTAAAGTCTTTGGAGATCATTTCCATTTCATCATCTTTAGATTAAAACCTTCAATGATTCTAATTGCCAAGCTCCTTTCATTCTTAGGTACATCTATTTTCATGGTTTGTCTCATAAGTTCATAGGTAGTAAGATCCCTAATCAATTCATCTAGTGGGAGAGTGACAATATTCTTTGATTCCTGGATGGCAGTGATCTTGCTTTCCTAAGTGATTGGCAAGATCCTATGTCACGACCCGAAATTTCCCACCGACGGGACCGTGATGGCGCTTAACATTTCACTTGCTAGGCAAGCCAACGTTATAAAATCGTTAAACCAATTTCTTATTTCCATTCAGTAAATAACAATAATTAACTAAGATGAAATATAATAA